CAGTCGCGCGGCTCCACGCGCCCCCAGCCGAGCGCAACGTCGGCGTAGGAGACGACAACATCGGCGCGGTCGGCGCACGTCTTGTTGATGCGGATCGTGAGGTTGAACCCCGGCGAGACGACCCGGGCTGGGCGGGCCGCGTCGAGCCCGTCGAAGCCGGCGAGGCGCACGGTGAAGGACGGGATGTTGGCGTACACCATGGCGTCGTAGAAGTGGCCACCGAGCAATATCGCCGCCACAACAAGGCAGAGCACTGAGTGGCAGATGATTTGCCTGCGCAGTTCCTCGCGGCGACTACGGCGAGGTCCCGCGGGTGATGGTGGTGCCTCGCCCAAGAACGGCGCCGCCTCCTCGTCGACGCCGGAGATGGCATGGTAGGGTTCTTCTAGGTCGACGCCGCCCTGACCCATCCTTACTAAGTCTTCAGTCCCAGATCAAACGAAGGACTCGTGAGTTCTGTTAAGGGCATCTCCTACGACGAGGCGCGTCGCTAATTAATCCGTTTGCGTTTGCACGGTCACAAAATATCCTGGATGCATGCATGCATGCAGCCCAACCGAGCCGTCAGTCAGCTACCCGTAAACATCGGTAATCAGTTAGTAGTAAAAACCAGTTCTTTGTTTATTGCTCGATCCATCGGTTGATTGATCTTGGCAACGACAAATTAAATATTCATGGAGGAGGAAGCGGGATTCAGGCAGAGGCATCCATGGCTCGAGTATGTGTTTCTGCTGCTCGCCGGTGTGGCCTCGGGCGGCTTCTTTTGCATACTTGTCCTCACCGGCACTAGTCCGCCGCTCTTCTCCGTGGCGGTCTCCGGCTTCGAGGGCCTCCACGTTCCTAGCAGCGACCCCGGAGCGGCGGCCGCGCCGACCTTCCACGTCGTCCTCCGCGTCGAGAACAACGACTTCCTCCCGCGGCACTGCTTCACGGAGGGGAGCGCGGTGGTGGAACTGGACGGCGTGCCGCTCGCGCGCTCCGACCGCCTCGGCGGGTTCTGCGTCCCGGGACGGACCGCCGTGAACGTGCCGTTCGTGGCCACCAGCGGCGGGCTGGGGCTGCCCGACGGGGTGTACGAGCGTGTGCGCGGCGGCGGCGTGCCGTCGTTGGCGGTGCGGGTGAGGCTGGACGGGGACCGGTTGAATCCCGTGCTGGTCAGGTGCACGGTGACGCTGGATGGCCGGCCGGCGGCTGGCTGCCTGCGGTTTCTCATGTTGGAACGAGGTATTAACTTGCTAGCAGACTAGTTAGTTGGATCACCAGGGACGAAGAAGACCGCCTCGGCAGGTTCTGCAGAAGAACCACACTCATTTTGTTTTGGGAACTATGTTATGTTAATTTTGCAATTTGAAGACCATGTAATATTTTTTAGAGTTAATTCCATTTTTACCCCCCATGATTTACTACATTTACACCAATTTTGAGAGAATCCTCAATTTATACACCCATGATTTGGCTATATATGAAAAAACAAGGTTAACACACCAATATTTCTTTTTTGAACATAGTACAGACGCAAGCGATCATATACACATGCATACACTCACCCCTATGAATGGACACAGGCACATCCTACCCCTATAAGCACCTCCGAGAAACTACGCTGGCATATTATTTTGAGATTTTATGAAGTCACCGTAGGCGCCTCGTAGTCGGCGGGAACATCTCCTCGCACTGAATGCACATCGACGATAATCCTAGCTGGGTTTGTTTTTCTCGAATGACCCCATAATTGGGTCAATCGATTTTCTACTGTGCCGAAGCCCATTAGCTGTGCTATCCAACCCTCATCTCTCTCCCTTTGCTTATTTTCTGTTTTTATGTGTGTTTGCTTTTGTTTTTTCTATTTTTCTTGGTTAGTTGGTTTTTATTTTTCTTCCGTGGGTATTTTTGGGATGTTGCGTGAGTGTAAATGTATACACATAAATACTATGCAATATGTGTGACAGTTACACTATTATATGATTATTGTTTTCATACTTCAAAAAGTGCAATTTTAGAACGAAGTTGTGTGCAAGTTTTTTAAAACTTTTTTCATTATCTTTCTTATTTAAATGGTAATACTATTGCTACTAATTCATCATTTCTTATTTTGATTTTTAGTTATTATATATTTTTCTTTATTATTCAAGGATAAAACCAATGCCACTAATTTATTCCTTCCGAGGGATTGCTTTTGCAAAAATTCCACTCTTATACGTTTATTCTTGCATATTTCTGAAAAGCGCATTTTTGTGAATACCAATGCAACTAATTTATTTTTCCCTAGAAAACTTGATTATTTTGATTTTTTAAGTTTTTATTTCATTTTCTTTCTTCTTAACCGTAATACAAATGCAACTAATTCATCCTTCTTAGGAGTCTTTTTTTTGCGAAGTTTCACTATTATATACTTATTCTTGCCTATTATTAAAAAGCGCAATTTCTATTTTATCATTTTTAATTCTTTTCTATCTTCTAGAGGGTAATACCAATGCCACTAACTCATTCTTTCTTAGGAAACTTCATTATTATGATTTTTTAGTGTCTATTTCATATTCTTTTCTTCTTAAAGGGATTTCTTTCTTAGAAAACTTCTTTATCATGATTCTGTTTTAGTTTCTATTTCGTTTTCTTTCTTCTTAAATGGTAATACCAAAGCCATCAATTCATTCTTTCTTAGAATAACTTCATTGTTCTGATTTTGTTTTAGTTTTGGTTTCATTTCCTTTAATGGTAATACCAATGTCAAGAATTCATTCTCTTCTTAGGATCTTCTTTTTTGTGAAATTTCTACTATTATATGCTTGTTCTTGCATATTATAAAAATGTGTGGTTTGTATGTAAATTGTGTGCATATTTAGTCATTGTTTGTTTTAGATTTAATTTTTCTTCTTAAAGGATAATACCAATGCCACTAATTCATTTTGCATTAGAGAACTTCATTTTTTTTGATGTTTTTAGTTTTATTTCATTATCTTTTTCTTTAAGGGTAATACAAATGCCCCTGATTATTTCCACTCTTTAGTCATAGGGAACGAAAAGATGGCATGTATCATCACATCTACCCAGTAGTACGTGCCCACACGTGTCTAGTTAGGTACCTGCATCGTCTGGCTAGCTAGCTTAGTAACTTCCCCGCAAAAAAAAAAAGCTAGCTTAGCAACGTTTTGAAAGTTAGTCCTGCATAAATCGAGCCGCAAAAAGCTTTATTAAGTAATGTGTATGATGTTGAATCTTCAACGCCCTGAAAGTTTGCTAAGCTTTTGAGCTACATACCCTTTCTTAATTCATGTAAGAACATACAGCGGAAGAGGTTACTAGAAATCAAGGCATGGCATGCACTAGTGATTGCGATGTATGGACCGTCCGTGCATGCATATGTGTGCTAGCTTGTGTGTACATCAATCACCGCGTGCATGCATGGGGTGCTGCATGCTTTGGTGCAGTAAGCGTAGTGCCATCGAGGATAGATCGATCTTCCGGTTACCAATTAGCTTGTGTGCTTGACCGCTCGGCACATAAAAAAAGTGACTGGCCCAAAGTCTAAATTCAGCACCTGGTCCCTAGACGGTCCCTCAAACCCATTCAAAAATCATATTTAAAATTCACGAGTGAACCTATGTCCAAACTCAGACTGGGCCTATTCAAACACATTCAAAACTCAAATTCAAATTTCAGGAGTGAACCTTGTGTGAAAGCTCTGACGGCTTATCTGTTGTTTTGCCAACCATGCTATGTTAATTTGGCAATTTGAAAAACCATGTAATTTATACAAGAAAGCTAATCTTCCAAAAGTTTTTTTTCACCTTAGGTATTTTTTAATGCTAGTTGGTTGTCTCTTGTTTTTGCTAGAGTTTTCTTCAATTTTGCAATGGTTTCTAAGGTTGTCGGGGATTGATTGCAAACATTTGTTGGTTATGTTTTCTTGATGCAACATTCACTGCAGGGAAAACATGTGTTGCCTTCTGTTTCCTCGTAAGCAGGGTGTATTTTATCGGACACTCACCTTATTTAAGCCAACTATTAGAGTCCAAGTACACATCGAAGAACGATCCCTCGGCTTACTACCCCGTACTTCGATAAACATCTGGAGTATACTCGGCTTATAAAAATGCTCGGCATATTATAGCAAAATAGCTCGGCTTTACGGCCCATGCGACGACCAACCATGCCACGTGGTTGTGCTCGCCGCGCTTGACGGCTCCGAGATGGTGGTCTGTATAAGCCGAGTGCCGCCTAACGAGGCTCATGATGTATATAATACATGTTTCTTAAAAAGAAACTAACAGTAGCATGGACTTCTTTGGACCTAGATTACACTAGCAAGAAGAAGGCAAAAAAAGAGGAAACATCACCTGATCAACTGGTCTAAGGTATGCAAACCCAAAGATTTTGGAGGTTAGGTATCCAAAACCTTGTTGTTAGGAACCAAGACCTTTTATGTAAGAGGTGGTGGAAGATCTACAACTCCGAGGGCACATTGTAAGCTGGTAATAAAACATTGACGTGGCAGACCTGTTTAGGTGGATAGGATGCATGTTAAGAGAAATATATTAGTGGGGATGAACTATTTAGGTATTATAGATTAAAACTTTAAATATTATATTTGCATTAGCATTAATTCTCTGGCGTTTGGTTGATTTTCTTGTAAAACTTATGTAACAACAACAATAAGAATTCTCTGGAGTAATTATTAGTATTAGCAATTAAAATTTAATTCAATATGAAATTGCTACACACTTATTTCGTATATGAAACTCCGTTGTAAAACATAAAGACGATTAAAAGATGCTGCCCGCCCATATTGCGAGGGCCACTTTGCTAGTTTAGTGAAAAGCACAACTTACACATTTTCACCTAATTGCACTTTTCTATGAAGTGAACTGAAGATAAAAAATCTTGAATCTTGATCCGTTGGGATTTAGCAAACTTGTTTTTTTTTCAAACGAAGGATGTCTATATACTTGACCGATAAATAAGAAATTCTAGGTACATGCAACACCTATCTGTCAAATTCTCTATTGCCTCGAAAAAATATCCATTTTCTCATCAAAAGGCACTAATGAGTACCAAGTGCAAGGCTCCGACTCCGCGGACCTGCCATGTCCATCCGTCCTGAGCATACACGACATCACATTGTCACGGACGTCGGGGCCGAAGATGTGATCGGGGACGTCGTTGTACACCGTCACCTCGACGTCGAGCTCCAGCGCCGCCGACCCTCGCCGCTCCTCCGCCATGCGCTGGCGCAGCCCCCTCGAGAGCCCCACCCCCTTGCCTTGTGCCATCACCGCCACGTCTCTGCCGGGGCGCTCACCGGTGCAGTCGTGCGGCTCCACGCGCCCCCAGCTGAGCGCGACGTCGGCGTAGGACACGACAACATCGGCGCGGTCGGCACACGTCTTGTTGATGCGGATCGTGAGGTTGAACGCCGGCGAGACGACGCGGGCCGGGCGGGCCGCGTCGATGCCGTCGTAGCTGGTGAGGTGCACGGTGAAGGAGGGGATGTTGGCATACACCATGGCCTCGTAGAAGTGGCGACCGAGCCATATCGCCGCGACAACAAGGCAGAGCACCGAGTAGCAGATGATTTGCCTGCGCAGTTCCTTGCGATGTCCCGCGGGTGATGGTGGTGCCGCCTCGCCCAAGAACGGCGGCGCCTCCTCGTCGGAGATTGTATGGTAGGGTTCTTCTAGGTCGACGCCGCCCTGACCCATCCTTTCTAAGATCTCCCAGCAGTCCCAATTCGAACGAATAGCTCGTGAGTTCGTTGAAAACTTGGCCCGGTTCCGTTAAGAGTTACAGTACTATTTCTACTGACAAATGTATCTCATACGCCGAGACAATATCGGATTGCTAGTCCGTTGGGTATACCTTCCCTTTGCCTTTGCATGCATTGCATGGTCACAAATGTGCTGGATGCATGCAGGTGCAGCCCATCCGTTGGTCAGCTACGTACCCATAAACATCGCTAATCAGTTGGTAAACCAGTTCATTTCTCCGGATTATTGCTCGCTCCATCGATTGATCGGTCTTGGCATCAGCCAAGCAAACCGTTGATCACCATCAATAGAGATCCATGGAGGAAGCGGGATTCCTGCAGAGGCATTCCATGGTTCGTGTATGTCATTATGCTGCTCGCCGGATCGGCCGGGGTCAGCCAATTCTGCATGCTTTTCCTTACCCATACTAGTGCGCCGCTCTTCTCCGTGGCCGTCTCCGGCTTCGAGGGCCTCGACGCCCGGAGCGGCGCCGCCAGCGCGCCGCCCACCTTCCACGTCCTGCTCCGCGTCGAGAACGACGACTTCCTCCCGCGGCACTGCTTCAAGGAGGGGAGCGCCGTGGTGGAACTGGACGGCGTGCCGCTCGCGCGCGCCGACCGCCTCGGCGGGTTCTGCGTCCCGGGACGGACCGCCGTGGACGTGCCGTTCGTGGCCACTGGCGGCGGGCTGGGGCTGCCAGACGCGGTGTACGAGCGCGTGCGCGGCGGCGGCGTGCCGTCGTTGGTGGTGCGGGTGAGGCTGGACGGGAACGCCGTGAAGACCACCTCGGATCTCGGCCGCTTGACTCCCATGCTGGTCAGGTGCACGGTGACGCTGGATGGCCTGCCATCGGCTGACTGCCGGCGGTTTCTCATGTTGGAACGAGGTATTAATAACTTCTAAACGACTAACGACCACTAGGCACTAGCAGACTAGCTGGTTATGCAGTGTAAGGTTGTGTGTATCTCGTGATGTCGAGGTCGATCGGGTGTAAACTCTTGCTGGTTATATAGTCTTGATGCAACATTAGGTGTTTACTAAACTTCCCTTTCTCAGATTCTTGCCATCAAATTTGCTCCCAATGCCCATGATGCAGAATCATCCATGGGTGCAATGGTGGTGTAGTTTTGTTTTACGTTTCTTCACTTGTCAACTGTTGATCTGTGGGGGCTTCACATATCGATGGGGCATAATTTTTGCCAATGCTCATATCTACCAGATTTCCAAGTTTATATGGACCATGGAGCAAATATAAACATCACAAACAAAAGCGACATCAACAACAAACACATGTACCAACAATAAATCATTAAAATTCCGACACAACATTATATCAGTAAATAAGTCACACACATTAACTAGGTACTTTATGATTAACCTTCTATTATTTGGGTATGTCTAGGGCATATCTAGATGTGCCCTAGTTATTGCACATCTAAGTGAGTGAATCAAGCATAAAGAAAAAAAAAAGAAAAAAAATACGCACACGAATCTCGACGTAAGATTAATGATATAAGACTTAGATGTGCAATACTTATCGCACATCTAGATGTGCTTTAGCAAAACTACTATTATTTATGTGAGCTTGACATTTAACCACCAAGTGAACATTGTGAGGAACAACAAATTAGTTATTAATGTCAAATCCATTTTTATTGCATAATGTGTACAACTATTCTCCAACATAGTGTTTTTCTCATAGAAAGCTTTATGCTTTTTTTTTTGCATTATCCTAAGTAACCTTCATTCCTAAGATGAACACTGCCGGTGGTTATAGTAAGAAGTAGATTGGCTTATTTTAGGGCTGACAATAGGATGTGACTAAGTGAAGAAACCCTACCAGATAATATCTCATACGACGAGAGATAATATCGGATCGCTAATCCGTTGGGTGCATTGCATGGTCGCAAATGTCCTGGATGCATGCAGCCTAACCGTTAGTCAGCTACCCTACCAGTAAACATCGCAAATCGGTTAGTAAACCAGTTGTTCCCCTGGATTATTGCTCGCTCCATCTGTTGATCGATCTTGGCATCATCCAAGCCAACCGTTGATCATCGTCAATAGAGATGTCCTGGATGCATGCAGCCTAACCGTTAGTCAGCTACCCTACCAGTAAACATCGCAAATCGGTTAGTAAACCAGTTGTTCCCCTGGATTATTGCTCGCTCCATCTGTTGATCGATCTTGGCATCATCCAAGCCAACCGTTGATCATCGTCAATAGAGATGTCCTGGATGCATGCAGCCTAACCGTTAGTCAGCTACCCTACCAGTAAACATCGCAAATCGGTTAGTAAACCAGTTGTTCCCCTGGATTATTGCTCGCTCCATCTGTTGATCGATCTTGGCATCATCCAAGCCAACCGTTGATCATCGTCAATAGAGATCCATGGAGGAAGCGGGATTCCTGCAGAGGCATCCATGGCTCGTCTATGTCATTATGCTGCTCGCCGGATCGGCCGGGGTCGGCCAATTCTGCATGCTTTTCCTTACCCATCGGAGCGCCCCACTCTTCTCTCTCGCCGTCTCCGGCTTCGAGGGCCTCGACGCCTGGAGCGCCGCCGCCAGTGTGCCGCCCACCTTCCACGTCGTCCTCCGCATCGAGAACAACGACTTCCTCCCGCGGCACTGCTTCACGGAGGGGAACGCAATGGATGAAGAAGACCCGCCCTCGATTGCTCCTTCAATATATCTTTTGTTTTTGCAACCATGTTTTTTTGGAACGTAGACGCTGGAGGCGTCCGGCTTTAAATTAATAAAGCCCATAGGCCAGAAGTACATAGAGCACCAACTAAACGAAAAGCGGGAAACAAAGATCAAAGATCAAGTTCTGACGAGCCCCGCACGGCTCAATGCGCAACAAAAGGTTCGACTCATCACGAATTACATAATACCATGAGGAGCAGAACGCTTCAACCAAACTATCATGCCCCCAAAAGACCCTCGGAAATCCTCGTCAGCTTGCTGGCTCCTGTCTTGCCTTCGCCTGGATCTCCTTGATGCTCGTCATAGCTGCTGACATGCGCTCAGCATCGCGCTCCTTCCCCAGGGGTGTCCACGTCTGCAAAAACAAGTGACATTTGAAGATGACATCCGCGGGGTGATGAGGGAATTTTTTCTCAATCGTAAACTTGTTTCGTGTCGTCCAGATAGACCAAAGCAGCGCCCCTACGCAACGCCAAGCTATCCTACGTGAGGTCCCATGAGTGGTCTTAAGAAGGGAGGCAAGTTGGTGTCCCGATGCTGGGTTCCAGTCCACGTGGAAGGCCTCCCGCACTGCACTCCAGGCAAACCTGGCCAAGTGACACCTAAAGAGCACGTGGTTGGCATCCTCATCCAGACCACACAGCGCGCATGTACCGTCTGCCGGGCCATTGCGCTTGGCCACGTTGTCCGACGTAGGCAGCCGGTTTCGGAGCATTTGCCACATGAAGATTTTGATCTTCAGAGGCAGGCTTGCCTTCCAAAGCTCCTTAGCTATATCCAGAACAGGCCCTTCAGTGAGCTTGTAGTACAGGGACTTGCACGAAAATTTCTTCGAAGCTGTTAGGCTCCACTCTACCGTGTCTCTCGTTGTGCCTAGTCGGTTGACCCCAATCAACTGGTTTAGCTCGTTCCAGGACGCGCGCTCCGCGATCAAAAGGGGCCGCATGAAGTGAATCGCCGGAGGGACGGTCCGGAGAGCCTCCACTACTAGGATGTTAGTGTCAGTGGCTAACCTATACAAGGTGGGATGACTTTGCCACAAAGGAGAATCACCGAGCCAGTGGTCAAGCCAGAACCTAGTAGATTGACCATTGCTAACCAAAAATTTGGCCCCTAAGTCAAAGGCCGGGCGCACCGCTTGGAGCCCTCTCCAGAACGAGGAACCGTTGGCCGAGGTAGAAAAAGGGTTCCCATTTGGGAAGTACTTAGCTTTTAACAGGCTTGCCCAAAGCCCCGACTCATCTTGGGCCAGCCTCCACCACCATTTGGCAAGGAGAGCCACATTCATCAGTTTGGAGTTGAGAATTCCCAATCCGCCCAATTCTTTAGGCCTGCAGACTGCTGCCCACTTAACTAGGTGATACTTCTTCTTAACTCCGGCTCCTTCCCAAAAGAACCGAGCTCTAGGTGTGTCTAGTTTGGCGTGCACACCGTTAGCTAGTAAGAACATCCCCATCGTGAAGAGAGGGAGGGAGGAGAGACTCGAGTTCGTCAGGATGAGCCTAGCGGCAGATGACATGAATCTCCCACGCCACAGACTTACTCTGTTGGCCACTTTCCCGTAAAGAGGCTCCCACTCTACTATAGAGAGTTTGCGGTGCGATATAGGGAGCCCAAGGTACTTAATTGGAAAGCTCCCCAGCTTACAATTAAGCAGGTTGGCGACACGAGTGCTTTGCAGGCCGTCAAGCCCCATGGTGAAGACCTCGCTTTTATGAAAGTTGATCTTGAGTCCGGAGAGGAGCTCAAAAGCTAGTAGCAGTAACTTAATCGAGGCAATGCTATGGTCGTCCGGATTGAAGAGCAACAGAGTGTCGTCAGCGTATTGGAGGTGCGTCACCCCACCTGGGATGAGGTGTGGCACCAGCCCTGTAATGGGTCCAGCCTCCCTGGCTTTGGACAACATAGCTGCCAAGGCGTCCGCCACAAAATTAAAAACTAGGGGGGAAATGGGGTCGCCTTGTCGCAGTCCTTTCCGGTTGCGGAAGAATTTGCCCATGTCACCATTGACTATGACCGAAGTGTTGCCACTCGAGATCAGGTGCATGATCCGGTGAACAAACCCTGCCTCAAAACCCTTTTTGAGGAGGACCTCCCGAATAAACTCCCAGTTTACTCGGTCGTACGCTTTCTCAAAATCGAGTTTGAGAAGAATGACACCCTGTCCATGCGTACGCTTCACCTCATGAATTACCTCTGTGAGTGCTATAGGCCCCTCCAGAATGTTCCTGTTTTTCAGGAAAGCGG